TATTGAGATTAATACTTAGAATTAGACAAAGCCTTAAACAAATAGTTTTCTTTAATAGGAAATTATTATATTTTTGTTATAATACTCTTTCCTATTGAAGCTTTAATATTTTTTGAGTTTTTGAAAAAGGAGTTAACCTTTAACATTGATTTTTGCATTTATAATTAAATTTGTCATTTGGCTTTTGTCAAAATGATTATAAAGTACCAATATATCTCCTGTCATTTTCTGTCCTGAAAAAAAGGAAATGACTCAAAATGATACCTAAAATATTTCATTGTGTTCTGTGTAAACTAGACTTAGATATACACAGAGTAATCATTCATTGGCTAGAAAATATCCGCACTTAGAGAGTGGTTTCTAAAACAAGATGCAAGACACATTTTGTGAACATCATTTATAAACAATGTGCTGATGGGCACTTAAGTCCAAATAGGACTGAAATATTATTTTCTAGCAAGATCTTCATGACATAGCTGCAGTTTATTTAGGACATATGTGTACAATGCTATCTTCAGTATAGTTTGTAATTAATATGTTGATTTACTTCTAGGATTCTTAATCATTCAACTTCTGTCATGAGAAATAAGCTGAAACAAACTGTGGAATGTGAAAAGAGGTATAAACATCATAGTCATTATAATATTTGGTATCTTATAATGAGATTTGATACTCTTATAGCAATTTTCCTCAAACGATGCTATGTGGATATATGATGCAGATGTCATATAGGTAGATAATTTAAAGATCAAATATGTCAAAACTTGTGTCCAATTGGGTTTTCTATAAACATACGCCCCGATTCTGATTTTTTTTGTTTATATTTGCGGTTTGTCTTGATTCATTCACAAATGTTTATCCAATTGATATAACCACCATTAATAATGTATTTCTTCATCACTGGTTATGTTTATTCTTTGTTATTGTTTGCATTTTAATTTCTTTTAATTGGGTTTGCTAAACTATTTGTTAAATGACTTAGGTTTACAGATATGAATTTCAAACAACTAGAAGGTCTGAAAATTTCTTTTTATTGTTCTTCATTGGTTTTACCCAAGTCCTGGGTATAAATTTTCAAAAATGGGAGTACAGAGGCACACACTGAATGATAGCTTATTGGATGCTGGATATATGTGCACTCTTCTTAGCTCTGTAAATTCTCTGTCTTATTCAGTCATCACAATAAAATTGTGAAGTTGTTACTTTTGCTATACTCATTTACACACGAGCAAACTGAAACTAAGAATTTTCATAACTAGATCAAGATCACACTGTAAATGGGAGAGTCATAATTCCTACTTAGGTGTGTCTTATTGCAGAACCTGAAGTCTTCATATATAGTAACAATAAGTTTACCTCAGATCCATGCATCTCACTTGATGTATTTCTGCAGATAGTGCAGATTTGTGTCTCCAAACCTCCTTTCCTGTGTCATCTACCCTAGTGAATGTGCAGGTACTATGTAGTCCCCTAAGCTAGCAACTTTGGAAACACTTCACTCTTATGTCTTCCTCCTGTGACATGAATATCCCATTAACCCTCTTTCCATCCCCTCCATTACTAATTTAGTTGTATTGCTTCAGCTCCCATTGTTTTCCGTCTGAGCTACAGTGCAGTTTCCACACATAACTCCTTTCTTTTCTGTATTATTAAAGAACAGAGGTTTTTAAAACTTAATCAGCCAATGCAACCCTTATTTCTTATTTTCTAACCGGTATAGATATTTTTTATCATAAAGGGTAAAATGTTGAGATTAACCATAAAGTTGAAATTGACTTCTACTTGTCTTCAATCTCAGTTCAGAGCCTCATCTTTGCAGTCTCTAGAGTCACAGCCTCTAAGTTTAGAAGCATAACTCTTTTATTTATTTCAGTGTGGTTCCCTATTTCTACATTCTATATCTTGGTCTCCTTTTCATATTGCCCATGTTTCTTCCTTTCTTTACATGGTCTCTTAGAAATCAGTTCAATTCTGTATGGTTTGGGCTAGAGCTTCACTGTAGACAGCATCACAGTGTTGGGAGCATGTATAAAAGAGGTCACATAGTAAGACAGGAAGCCAGAAGGATCTAATAATTAAGTTACTTTTAGGTTTTTATGTAATACAACTTATTCTCATAGAAGCCACTGGAGCGCCTAGAAAACTACATTAATCCCTTCCAAAGAGAGGCTTTCCAATGACCGTATTGTATTGTACTGAGCTCTACTCCTATTGATTTCACCACTTTTTTACCACCACGTAGAGCTTCAAGCTCTTTATAAATTATACCTTATGGGAAGCACACTGTATGGAAGGTATAGTATACCCTTCTATATGTACATGGGAGTATTTGCACTTGTTTATATATCTAGGTGTATGTATCAGTCTATAAAACAGTGTTTATATATAGGAATGTGCGCTGATACATACCACAGCGTTTATATACCAGTGCGCATCAATATGTATTACAATGTTTATATATAAATTGTACATATAGTGTTTATATGTATGTTGTGCATTGATATTTACCACCGTATGGTGGAATTTCTTCTTTACTTTACATTTAGATGCATGGTGTGAATGTCTGATTTTCAGAAATCATACCACTACTCAGTTTTGTTGCTCACTTAAACATGATTTTCCTGGATTTTTCCCCATTTCAGAAAGTGCTAACTCCATTCTTATTGTTCAACACTTGAAAAAGTTTCATCCTTAGTTTGCCATTTTCTCTCAAACCCCATAGCTAACACATTACCAAATCATGTTGACTAGGGAAATCTGATCACATCTTACCAACTTCACTTCTGTCAACCTTGCTCTCTACACACCCAACTGTGCACAGCCATAAGGTGGCAAACATGGATTTCCCCCAAGAGTTTACATGGGGAATACAATTTTGCCTTATTGGACAGACACTAAAAATTACTTTAGGTCAGATCAGCTTATACTCCTTTGTTCCTGAAAAAAAACTGAGAGTATGTTTGTATAGAAATTGTCAAAGTTTTGATAGCTGGTAGAAGAGTAAAATGCTATCCCATTGTTCCAAGAGGGCTCCATGTATAGTCCAATGCAGGTGGGGTTGTAGACTATTAGGTGGCTCGTCCAGGGAGGTGTGTGTGCATAGTGTGGTATGGGAAAGTGAAAGAGCTGGACTGAAAATTATTAGAAGTGTTGTACACATTTCCACTCTCCTTCTCTCCCCGCCTCTCTCTTCATCTCTGTGTGTGTCTGTGTGTGTCATTATGTGGTTGTGTACATAACCAACCATATAGAGTCCCAGGATGCTATTCTATGTGCTTACCTGCTTCTTTATCATACTATCCTGTGGACTATGTATGCCAATTTTTCTCTGACTTCTAAATGTAGGAACCATCTGCACTCTGCCTTGAATTTTTTCTCCCTGGTCTGTGACATGGAAATGCTCTGCATGTAGCAGCATGGGACAAGCATGACATTCTTCTTTCATTATCCATTTCTAGGATTCTTTATTTACATTTAAAGTAAATTTATTTAATAGATTTCTATATATTGATAAGAGGTAAGGATGTAGGCTTTTTGTCTTCCTTTTTACTCTTCCTTTTTTACTTACCCATCCCTTTTTGCTGTTTCTTTCTTTCTGTATTTTACAAGTACTCATTATGTTGTTTATATTTTACTTGCTACATAATCTCCAATGTCTATACATTTGTACCATAAGTTTCTATGCCAAAAATTTTGTACTCTATCTTCCACTGAAAAAAATCTATAAATTCTGGAATTGTTGTTACTATATTTTCATTTTTGTATATATTTATTACTTCCCAAGGAGAGGTATGTTCCTTGTACTCTTACAATTTTTTTTTATTATTTTCTCTCTTGCTATTCTCCCTTCTCTTGTTCCTCCTCTCCATCCTTTCTGTCTGTTTGAAACAAGTTCTTACTCTGTGGCCCAGGCTGATGTTTATCTTACCTGTGGATCCCAGTCAGGACTCCAGCTCATGGTGATGGCTCCATCTTGTGAGTGCTAAAATGTCCAGTATGAGCCACCATACTCAGCTTTACTCCCTCCTTCTTTCCCCTCTCTCATTTAATCTTAAAATTTTTTTTAGTGTGTTTCTGTTTCTGTGTGTGTTTGTTTATGTCTGTGTAAGTGTATGCCACATGTTTCTGTGTGTGAATGGTTGCCAGAAGAGGATGTTGGATCCCTTGGAGTTAGAAGAAGTGTGTGTCAATGTTGAATTCAGTTGTAGGCCCTCTTACGTCATAACTAAAGCTCATGATCGTAATTCAACAGGAAATAACGTATTTGACTTCTGAACTCTGGCATTTAGATGAAGGAACTTAAGTGTTTACTTATTTATTTGTTTGTTTGTTTATTATGTGTGTGCATGCATATGCATGTGTACCATGGCACAGGTGTGGATGTCAGAGGACAACTGTCAAGGATTCATGGGTTTGGTTCTCCCCTTCCACTATGTGAATCCCAGGGATCTAACTCAGGTTGTCAGGCTTGTTGGCAAGCTAGTACCTTTACATGCTCACTCATCTCACTGATACCATTGAAAGAAAGAGTAACTTGTTTTTTATAATATTATGTTTATTTTACTATATATTTATACATATGATACTCCTTTTGGCCTCTACCAAATAGGGTTGGCTTATGTATACAATGAATATAAAATAAATTCATTTTGTTATTTCTTGTGGCACAATAGTTAGCAGGCACTCGCTATTGGTTGGTTTAATCAACTTTATATAATATTAGTCAACCATGTGGTGGTTAATATCTGCCATTGCAGTTCTTGGGAGGCTGGCTACAGTAGTGAGTATCAGGCCATCCAGAACTGCACAGCAAACCCAGTCTCAACAGAATACAACACAACATAACACAAAACAACAAAACAAAATGAAACATATAGGTATGATGAATAGTCTTTACATTGCTGTCTTAAAACAATGAAAAGACAAATTTGTCACATTTAAAGTATGCAAAAGGATTTAAAATTACCTTAAGTAATATTAAAGCATCTCTAATGTTTTAGTGTCTCAGCAGATGAAGGGAATTCACCATTATCACCCCTTGCATGGCAGGTAAGAGCAAACAACATTAATAATACATATACTATTTTGTTGTTGTCATTTGCTTGGTTTAAAAAAGAACTTTTGTCATTAAAGCCATTAGAAAATCAGAAGGATCAAATAGTTGAACAACAGTGGCCAGAATCTCAGCCTATAATCTGGCAAAACGAAGAAAGGAGACGGAGTAAGCAGATCAGAAAAGAATATTTCAAGGTACCTTAAGAAATTTTTAATTTTGTTTTGTTTTTACTTTTATTTTTAAATTTTTGTTTTAAATAAATGACATATAACTCTCCAGTTAAATGCCACAACTGTGTTCATGTTGATTGCCCTGGTGTGTAGAATAATGATATGCTTTGTAAGTAGAGCCACAAAATTGCAGTAATTTAAATTAATTTGGAATTAATCGGTATACTTCATGATTTTTCAAATGGTTAAAAGGAGGATGGATGTTTGTGTGTTACACCACAGATTGGCAGATTGAGGCAATTAATTATGTGGGTCTTTTGGTTTTGAGGTAGGGTTTCACTATATAACCCAGGTTAGCCTCAAATCCCTACCCCCTGCCTCTGTCTTCTATAAGCTGAGATTCCAGAAGTGAACAACCAGGCCTGGTTCAGAAAAAGATTTTTATTGGATTTATTTCAATAAATAGTTCAGAACTATTTTTAGTTAGTGTCTCACTATATAAGTCTGGCTGTCCTGTAACTCTCTATGTACACCAGGCTGACCTCACAGAGATCTGCCCAACTCTTAGTTGTGCCTCACTACACATAATTCAGTAGATTTCTTAAGATGAAAGTTAAATTAAAATACTAGAGCCGGGCTGGTGGTGGTGCATGCCTTTAATCCCAGCACTCTAGAGGCAGAGGCAGGCGGATCACTGTGAGTTCGAGGCCAGCCTAAGACTACAAGAGCTAGTTCCAGGACAGGCTCAAAAGGCACAGAGAATCCCTGTCTTGAAAAACCAAAACATAAATAAAAAAAATAAATAATAAAATAATAGAGCTTGCAAATTATCATAAATTTCTATTACATAATTGTTTATTTGTATTTCAAGTTTGTTACATTTGAAAGGGACTGTAATCAAAATTTAGAAAAATTTTCAATCAGCATTTACTCTTGGGATTGACTCAGATGAGTAGTACAAATTTTGTCCTCCACCATGAATAACAAATTCTGTTGTCCCATACGTCCTGCAAACCTCATCAGATAATCATTTTCTCTAAATATGTAGTACTCAACTAAGTTGCACATTATTTCAAGTTTATGCCACTAATAAATAGAATTCAGTTTTTACCTTTGTGTTTGGCAGAAGTTTTTCTTTCAATCTACATATTTCTCTATCCATATACTGGAAATCAATATGTGTTTGAAAATAAAAATAAAAATGGTATATGCCTTATCAAATATGTAATCACGCTAAACTTTGAACAAATGATTACTGATTATTTTTAACCAGTGGATTTTGAGTTAATTGGGTAATAAGAAAAAACACATAGGAAGGAAAAGGGCAGGGCATTCTAATGATCAGAACCCTTTGCGGCTCTGCAGTTAGGTTTACATCTGGTCTTTATCTTAGTTCCCCTTTTTAAGTCATGGAAGCATAAACAAAAGTACTGATTGAAAATATGTTTCTAAGTGAACCTTGATGAATTACTTATGATGTGTTATTTCTAAGCAGCAGGAGGTATTTTATATTTCTTTGATTTCCTTTATCCTAATATAACAATACCATACTGATTATATTCATCAAAACACTTGTACTGGAATTGTTAACTGACATAAACCTTTCCAAATATTTTCAGTTCATTTGTTCCTCAGGAAACTTCAGTAGCATAAAATGTAGTTATCATTTGTATTTTACATAGGAGAATATTAAGGCCCAGAAAGCCAATAGTGTGCTTATCATAAAATTGAGATTAGAATTCAGAGCATTTTTAATGCTGTGTCTTTATGCTGTGGACAGCATGATATGAAAGAAATCAACATTAACATTAATAGAGTTTCATTTTTTCAAAATATTATACAATAATTCAAGTGAACTTAATAGAGGTGTTAGTGAATCTTTATCATAGTCAGCTATTACTCAGTTTAAAACCATCATTTGTTCATTCAAAAATGTAGTCTTCATGGCATATATGTTCCTTCTACTTTATTAGTTATATTATTTAGTTTCTAAAAGGTAAAATAGGATAATATATAAAATGACTATTATGTAATCATCAGTCAGTAAATGTTCATTTCTTTCATACATTATAAAGTGGGTGTAAACATAATCTTCAGTCCCTGGGTTAAGGGACTGTGTAGGGACATGTGTAATTCTTCTTAATTGTCAGAAGATGTCAGTGTTAGGACATTGCATGAAAAATTGGTTTCAAATTATTCCTTTAACGTTAGGAAAATACAAAATTGTATAGGGCTGCGGTGTAGCTCATTATTAACAGCACTTGCTTAGTATACTAAAGGCTGTTGGACATCAACACAAAAAGATATGCAATGGAATTAATAGTACATTAGTCACAGCTATAAACTATAATAGGGGCATATACACTTATCTGCAGTTCCTAATACAGCTTTCTTTGTGACTGAGATACTAGGTAAGTTATTTCTGCAGAATATGGAAGACAGAGTTACATAAAGTGGACATTAAATTTAACCCTGGACATCAGGAAAAATAGTTTGTGACATGATCTGAAAATCAGTAGGTTTTTTTTTTTTTTTAAGGAACGTCTATGAACACCTTTGTGGTTCTACCATTGATTTGCAGAATAATTCAAGCAGTTTTGGCAAGGAATAAGAAAATAAGGCTTCTACTGATTGTCACAGTATATTCTCCTTGATTCTAAAAATCACTTTGTCACATATTCAAATTCTTTATGTTGAACACATTTTCTCAATATTTCACTATAAACTGGGATAAAAGTACTTATTCTCTTGCTATAAAGATTAAATTTCTCAATCCATGCATTGCACTTCAATCATTACTACTGTAATGTAAATGATAGTTCTAAATGTTAGCTCTTAGCACTATTACTATTATTGTGCAGCTGCCATATGCATTTAATATAGCCGGAAATTAGAAGATTACTTCTTTGTGGTACAGAGGATTGAACCCAGAGGTTCATAGGTGGTAGGAAAGCATGCTACCACTGAAACACATCTCCAGCCCAGTTTTTTTCTCAAAGTTTATTAAAATACAAAAGTTTCCATTTCCGCCCCTCCTCCCAACCCCCTCCCACTCCCCCCACTCCCTCCCCTCCTCCCTCTCCATCCCCAAGAGCAGTCAGGGTCTCCCACCCTGTGGGTAGTTCAAGTTCCTCCCCCCTCCCTCCAGGTCCAGGAAGGTGAGCATCCAAACAGACTGGATCCCAAAATCCAGTATATGCAGAGGAAACAAGTCCCAGTGTCATTGTCATGCTTTTCAGAAAGACTCAGGGCCAGCTACATTCAGAGAATCCGGCCACATTCAGAGAATCTGGCTGGATCACGTGCTCGCTCAGTCCCAGTCACTGGCCTTGGTGAACTCTCATTAGATCAGTCCCCTTGTATCAGTGGGTGATCGCACCCCTCGCGGTCCTGATTTCCTTTTTCATGTTCTTCCTCCTTCTGCTCCTCATTTGGACCTTGGGGGACTCCGTCCGGTGCTCCAATGTGGGTCTCCATCTGTATCGCCATCCATCATCGAATGAAGGTTCCCTCTGATCTTGCCTTCCTTGCTCACGTTCTCTTTCCTTCTGCTTCTCGTTTGGACCTAGGGAGTTAAGTCCAGTGTTCCAATGTGGTTCTCCGTCTCCATCTCCATCCATCGCCAGATGAAGGATCTATGGTGATAAGCAAAATATTCATCAGTATGGTTATGGGCCAAGGCCAGTTCAGGCACCCTCTCCTCTGTCCAGAGAACAATCTGGGGATCTCTCCTTGGACCTGGGATCCCATTTGTAATCAAGTCTCTAGTAAACCCTAAACTGACTCCCTTAGTTGAGATATATTCTTCCCTGATCCCATATCTATCCTTCCTCCCTCCCCTCCCCCAGTCCCCCCCCCGAGCATTCCCCATTCCTCCCCAGCTCCCTCTCTCTAACCCTAAAAAAAAAAAAAAAAAAAAAACCACCCCCCCATGCACCCAAGGTTACCTGAGACTCTTGTCTATTTCCAATCTCCAGGAGGAAAACTGCCTGAATTTTCTTCAGGTTCACCTTCTTATTTAGCTTCTCTAGGATCACGAATAATAGGCTCAAAGACCTTTAATTATGGCTAGAATCCATTTATGAGTGAATACATACCAAATTCCTCTTTTTGGGTCTGGCTTACCTGACTCAGTAAAGCGTTTTCTTTTCTTTTTCTTCTTTTTTTTATTAATTTTTATTTTTTTATTTTTTAATTTTTTTTATTTAATTTTTACTGGGAACCCCTCCAGAATCAAGTCTCTTGCAAACCCTAAAATGGCTCCCTTAGCTGAGATATAAACCTCCCTGCTCCCCCAACTATCCTTCCTCCCTCCCCCCTCCCATTCCCCCAAGCCTTCCCCAATCCTCCCCCTCTCCCCTCTCCCTGACCATCTTCCCTTACTTTCACCCCCCCACCCCCCATGCACCCGAATTTTCCTGGCAATCTTGCCTAGTTCCACTATCCAGTAGGATAACTATATGATTTTCTTCAGGTTCACCTTCTTATTTAGCTTCTCTAGGATCACAAATTATAGACTCAAAGACCTTTAACTATGGCTAGAATCCACTTATGAGTGAGTACATACCATATTCCTCTTTTTGGGTCTGGGTTACCTCACTCAGTAAAGCGTTTTCTATGTCCATCCATTTGCATGCAAAATTCAAGATGTCATTGTTTTTTTACCGCTGAGTAAAACTCTAATGTGTATATGTTCCACACCTTCTTTAACCATTCTTCTATTGAGGGGCACCTAGGTTGTTTCCAGGTTCTGGCTATTACAAATAATGCAGCTACAATTGCTATGGTCTTAGTATAGTGAAATTACAAACCATGTGAGAGATGATAAGAACCCTGGATAGGATGGTGGTTGTAAGAATTCAAATGAAGCAAGTCTAGGAGAGATTGCCCAAAAGTTGACTTGATGACTTGTTGAATTCATTGAACTAAGAAAAAGAAAGACTCTAAGACAATCGTTCTCAACCTTCCTAATGCTGCGACTCTTTAACACAGTTCCTCATGTTGTGTGACCTTCAACCAGAAAATTATTTTCATTGCCTCTTCATAACGATAATTTTGCTAATGTTAAGAGTTACAATATCTGATATGCGTGATATCTGTATACAATATCTGATATGCATAATATCTGTATACACAGTCTCTGTTAAAGGGTCGTTTGACCCCAAATATGTTGCTACCCACAGGTTTAGAACCACTGTTCTAAGACAACCCACAGATTGCAAACCTGAAAGAATGAGAAGTGGGTCTGGCTCAGGAAGGAAACGCTATTTGACATAGTTAGAGATTTTGGAATAGTGTTACTCACATAATTGTACGCGTGAAAAGGAGGACTGTTTAAACTGACTGTGTACTTCAGTTTAATATCAGATAATTTAATAAAAGTGCCAACATTGTAATAAGCCTCAAGTGTCATTTTGAACAAAAAGTTCACATGTTTAAGGAAAAATAAAGTATTCATTTAAAATGTTTTTCAGTACAAATCAGCAAGGAAGAATTCAAGTGGCAATGAAAATGAGGAGGTAAGACTAAGGGTAATATTGATTTGGATTCTTTACTTTCGCATTTAGTTGACTTAGTGAGAATTAATGCAGACCTGCTGTTGTTTTCTTTGCTACTGAGCACCAGTTTTCTACAATAATAAAAAATTCTGAGCATTGTCGTATAGTTACTAATTTAACCCTTTGTTTTCTAGAACACAGTAGTATTAGAGGTTTATCATTTGTTTTGGACCTCTAACCCATCAGTTTACACCTGAAAACATTTTTTCATGGAAATAAAATTACACTGGGCAAAATAAGTAATCTATGTGAATTACCTTTGTTTAATGCAAATGCTGTTATCTTTCCATGTCTATCAAATTGTGTTTATGGAGACCCCCTCCAAAAAAATTAAGACAGTTGCTTCCAAAACGTTCCATTATTTCCTTGTTAGTATCTGTGGTAAATCATGAAAGCAGTTTTTTTGTGTAGGTATGTTTTCTAGGTTGCTATTCATGAGTGCAGTCAATTCCTGTGTACCTGCTGCTGGCTTTCCGTTGCACTTTGTAATATCTGTTTGACCCTTTCGCTTTATTCCTTATGTCATAACCCATAGTATGGACTCTAAAGTGCTGGTTTCAGTGCGCAGAGTTTTGATGACTGATCCCAGTGGTCCTAGTGATAGCTCCTAGTTTATGGCTCTAGTCCGTACTTTACCATCGAGCCTAAGGCTTTTGTAGTAATGTCTCCTCTTTCTTAGCTGCTCGGAATCTCTGCTCACCTAGGATTCAACACATTCATCTTTTTTCCATGCTTCAAACATATTAACATTTTAAATTGATGAAGCATCTTTTTCAACCTAGGTTGCACAATGAAAACTCATGATATCTGGATTTTACACAGACATTCAGATTTAATTAGTGTGTGTGTGTGTGTGTGTGTGTGTTTGTGTGTGTTTAAAAGTTTTCCATTTGAGTTTACTGTGTAGGCAATGCTGGTAACTACTTTATGAAATTACCAACTCCTTTTTAGACAAAGCAGAAGTTGACAAAGTGGCCCAGGATGAAAGCTGGCCCACTTGCTATGTTTGTAAGTAACTTTTACATATAAGAGAGTTACAGCCACTTGCCTACAGATGCTTTTGCATTCTAATGACAAAGTTGTGAAGTTAGTACTGAGACCATGTCATCCACAAAATCTGAAGTGTTAAACAGACAGCATTCTTTGAACTCCAAGTTAGAGGTTCACCTTGGCTGTCCTCCCTGCCTCCTCATAGTCACTTTTCTCCCACCTGTTTCAATGTCTAATCCGTTATGAAAACCTACTAATTCACGTGTTTATTTTTGGGCCCTGAAATAGTTTGTCTACACCACTTATTCCATCTTTTCTACCTTTGCATAGATTTTCAGTCTTTCTTGCTTGGATTGTTAAAACAACTTCCTTGCTTTTCTGTATTTATACTGTCTATCTGCCTGTATATCTGCTTATTTATATCTATAATTTATTTATATATCTGTCTGTCTATCTATCTATCTATCTATCTATCTATCTATCTATCTATCTATCTATCTATCTATCTATCT